GCCCCATACTGGGTTCTCAGCAGTGCCCAGCCAGCAGCCCTGCACCACCCAGCCAGACCAGCTCACTCATCAAAGCTATCATTAAATAAGACTAGGCAAGATTTTCAAATAAGTTACAGGACTTCATATTAAGGTGAAAAGGCTCTGGATATTTTCACCAGAGTGGAGAGACACAGAGCCTCCAAAGAGCCAACAAATCCCTGAAGAAGGTCTCCCCTCACCTTCACCAGCAAATGAATCCTCTGCCCCGACTCCCTGACAAGGCTGTAACGCTTTTCCAGACGGTTCTGACAGTCATCTAGGCTTAGCAGCGATTCCCTTCTACAATCTTTCCTCTCAAATATGGGTGACACCCATGACTGTACAATCATCTGGATCTCCTCAACGTTGTTTTTGGCTTTCTGTATCCTCCGCTCAAAGTCATGGACACCATCCGTCACCATGGAGACGTGATCCCAGACACCTGGTGAAAAGAATGAGATGACTGACTACTTGTTTTCAGAGCTGCTGGGCCAAGCTCTAGTATACATACACTCCTTAAGACCAACCTTTGACGTTTTCCCAATGGTTTCATGTATTTCTCACCCATCATGAACACAGAGATTTACCACCTTGACAAACAGAGTCACGTGTAGCTGCCTTCTACCCCAGCAAGCCATGGCCGGGGCAGCTGCAGCCTCTGCTTTCTGCCAGGAGTATCACCACCATGGGCAGCTCTGACACATCCTGCTTCCCTCTACCCAGGTTTAATCTCCCACTGACTGCTACCAGAGAGTAGCGTGGGGAGAATAAGGACAACAGGCTCAGCATCCCTGCCATCGTCATGAGAGCACGGACCCATAGCCCTGACACAAGGTTGTGCCCACCCCAGAGAGGGCTGCATTTAGATGCAGGGAATTCAGGGCTCATCTGCAGGAAAATCCCTTCCTCTTGTGCAGTGGAAAGTTTTTCAACATAAGGCCTTCTGCTTTCCATGTTCCCAAGGGAGGACATTTGTTCCTGTTCATACCACAAGCCTGATGACAGAAATATATATTCTACCTGTGAGCATTTCACTTTCACCAAGGGGAAACAAATCGTCTTCCTCCCCTCCGCTTTGCAGTTAAAACTGATCAAGCAAGGACACTGGTTAAATCATCTCGAAGTCACAGTGCACAAACCCCACCTCTAGCTGCAGTTCTTCATCCTTCTGGAGAAGCTGATGAGGTGTTCCTGACAAGTCTATCCCAGCGCCAGGTGGTCAGGCAAAGGGTTCCCACTCCCTGCAGAGCTGGGTGAGAAAGCAATGCCTCGGGGACACAGGCTGCTGGTCACTTGGGTGGGCACAGGGTGGACCGGCACAGACAGTGAGGAGATGCTTCAACCCCAGGCCTTGCAAACACAAACCCTGCCGTCTCCTCACCAGCACTGCTTGCCGGGCAGCCTCTCCTCCCCGAAAGCACAGGCTGAACCTGAAGGGAGCACGATCCTGCCCACGACCCCAGCAGATCAAGGCAATGTAGAAAGAAGCAGGCAAGGCTGTTCTGCATTTCCCCAGTGCTGGCTCTGCTGGAGAAGCCCCTGCCCTGCTGGGAACTGCAGCTGGGAACGAAGCGATGGAACTTGGGCACATGGGAGGGGATCTAGTGAGGCCCAAGTGTATCAGCTTTTTCCCCCGACACGGAGATAGCTCACCCTCCATCTTCCAGCTGAGAGTTTCTTCAGCCTCTTTCAGCTTCAAGTCAATATCCCGCAGCTGCCCCTGTATCAGAGGGTATTCCACCTCCAGGACTGTCTTCAGGACCTTGTTGTATCTGTTCACCATCAGCTCCAAGTTGGCCACCATCTGTCGGTATGATTCCTTGGAGGAGTAGATTTCTGCTGCCACCGGTGGGATGGCTCCCATCTGGTTACCAGACAGGTAGCCCACCTCCCTCAGCACTGAAACCAGCTGGAGAAACAAAGGAGCGAGATGAACACAAGACAACCTTCCCTGGTTACCTGGCAGACACTCCAAATGATTTTGAGCATCTTCGGGGTTTCCTCCTGATTTATTCACAAAGCAGCACGCTCCAAAAAGGGTCGGGATGCCTCCTCATCCATATCATCTGTCTCCCATTGATATTTCCCAACCAAAGACCAACGACTTAGCTCTGCTAACTACCCAGCCAGCAAACTCTGTGCAGCCTCTAAAAACTGTGGTGATCTCTGGTTCTCTCAGTTATCCTCATCAATGGAGCCTTTCAGCAATACTGTGCCTGCAAGTGGAGCTTAGCAGTCACCTAAGAGAAAATGGCTCCAGTTCTGTTGGTTTGCTGGGCTGACTGGCATTAAAAATAAAAACAAAACTGAAAATAAAACCAAAACAAAATATTGTGCCATGGCCTCAAAATCAGTGACTCAAATCCTCCTGTGTCCACTTTCCACCAAAGACTTCTGCTGGAGACTTTTTCCAGCCCAACCAAAAGCCCCCAGTGCCAAGGCATGTTAGAGCTGTGATGGAACCAGACTGAAGGGGGTTATTAAATTATAAACCCAAGTATGAGTCCCTGCAGCAAAGACAGCAGTGAGGTGTTCTGCTGCAATATACAACTTCTGAAACTTGCTGGGTTTTAATCATTGCTCAGTTTTGTGGCTAGTGAGAGGTAAAATGCTCCCGGAATGGCACATGTCAGCAGGGTGACAGAAATTCGGTACATGGGATGGGCAATGGTAGGGGTGAGGACTGCTCCTGGCTGTGGCTGAACTCAGGGTGCAGCTCCCTGAAAATCACCTTCCCCTTAGGCTGGCAGATTGATGACATGAGGAGGAAGTCTCTCTGCTCCCATTCCATGTACACCCTCTGCCCCTATTTTCAGTAGGAAAACTGGAAAGCTGTAGGTAGGAGCAGAAGCAGGTGAAGCCACAAGTGCAGGAGCCTTTGTCATTGCCCGGGGTGACAGGCAGGGGTTGCTGAGATCTCTCCATTGCTGCCTGGCGTTAGCTGAAAGCCAGCATCAAGCAGAACTGGCCAAGGAACCTGGGAAGCCCTTTGAAAGGACGGAAAGGGGAGGAACACGCACCACAAGTCAGGAAGGTAAGTTGTATCAAACCTCCTCAGTACTGAAGTGCCACTGAACACAACAACAAGAATTGAAAAGAAAGAAGAGGTGAAGAAGGGTGCAGGGAGCACTCTGGAAAGGCGAGCAGAAGAAGCTGGAGTGGAAGGGAAGGGAAAAACAAATGACTAAAGGAATCAGTGGGCAAGGGAGATAGAACCAAGCTCCCCTCCCTTCTTTGCTTTGGAACATCTGGACATCCTCACCATGGGGTCAAGGGAGTCTTCCCCTCTTTCTTCTCCACAGAAAGTGAGCTCTGCAAGACTATTCCATGCTGAAGGGTTGCAAATATATCCTCCCTCTAGGCAAAATGAGGTGTTCCTATCTATTCTAGAAGGCTATTTTAGAAGGCTAAGCAGGCACTTGAGGACATCAGGCAGTATGGAAAGCTGAGAAGAGCAGCAAGGAAGCTTTCAAAGACTCGAGCAGAGAACAGTCACGCTCAGCATATCACAGGCTCCAAATCCTGTTATCAGGCTGAAAACATCCCCTGGGGCCATTAGGATCCCACCTCAGCAAGGAGCTTCCAGGACGGACAAAACCTGTAACTGAGGACCAAGCTTGAATGGGCTCTAAAACCTAAAGACACTCTTTTATGAGCAGCGAGTCCCAGGGAACAGGGTAAATTTTTGACACCAACATTTCCCAGACCCCTGAGACTCAACAGTTCCCTAGCAAACGGCATTTTTACAGTTAATAGACCCTAGCTCCCACCAGAAGCTTTCAATCCATCTCTGTACCCTGCTGACGTGGATCCCTGCTTCTGCTTTGGGCGAGGTGGATGGTCAGTCCCCTCTGTGGTGGGGACAGGCTTTAGGGGAACTCTACGGAATAGAAAAAGTCTTCAATCCCCCACAAGCCTCATGCATTGCAGTAAAGGAAATCCAGCAGTCACAATACTGGAGTCACAAACCAAACCTTTTCTGAGCTTTCAGGAAGCTCAAATTTCAGGTACACATAACATGAACCAGCCTCTGTAGATGATATTCCAACACTCCTCACATGAGTATCACATCTGGTCTGGAGATGCTGCCACCAGTTAAACATCTGGCTACTCGGGGACTCCCTGTCATTGTCTTTAACTAGAATTTCTTCTGCTTAAATTGTAATCTTACTATGAGATAGAGCCCAGCAAGAGGATGGTAAAATCATGTCACCCGTCACAGAAGGGATTCCACAGACCTCAGGAGAGCAGATCTCGCACCAAACCCCCCAGACTTGCCATGACGCACAGCTTGGAGACATGCTCTCAGGCAGGCAGGAAAGCAAACCAGCAGCAGTTTTTACCTGGGGATCAAAATTCACTGTGAGCAGTTTGGTTTCTGGATCTCGGCGGATGAGTGGTTGAGTAAGGCCGTCCTGGGATTTTTCAGAGACTGTCTGGGACCAGTCTACATAGAGCTTTTCCTGATATCTGCCAGGAAATAGATAAATAAGCAAGTAAGTAATCTACCATGTAGATATCAAGCCAGCAGAACCAAATGAAAACCAAATTCACTTCTGCCGACTGAAGAACCCAAAGGAATGTTAAAACCCCACCCACACCTTCTCCATAAACAATGTGGCTTACAAAAGACAAACATCGAAAAACCAATGAGAGCACCAAGACAGGAGGGGAAAGATCTCTCAAATGTTATTTTTAGCAGAGGCTTCAGGGTAGGAGCCAGATTTTCAAAAACATTTAGCCCTAAGCAACAGATAAGCAGCTACTGGGTATTTCCAAAGATTCTAAGCAGGTGCCTAAACCCACACAAATGCTGGGAATGGATGCAGTTGCCTTCACTTCTCGAGCAGTCACTGCAGAGAAACCATCAGCCTCATGGAAATTTAGCTCTTCGAGAGCTCAGGCACACCACTGGGGATGGAAACACGGAGGGCTGAGTAGGAGTACCTCACCTGTCACGGACAGTCCTGACCATCCAAGCCACAAAGAATCTTCTGAATCGCGTTGTCACCCAAGCTCTCTGGGAAATGTGAGTTAGAAAATACTATCTCTGGCGAAGTCACCTCTGTTAGTCTGCTGCCTGTTAGTCTGCTCCCTTCTCAAAGGCTCTACTAGAGATATTCAGTCTTTGGTTTGGTAAAGAGGAACACCTGCACCACCCAGATGTCTCAGCCACCTTCATTGCTGATTGAGAACAGGCCCTGCAGAGACACCTCCTGCCTGAGGAGATGGCTCTTCTCAAGAGAAAGCCCAAAGCCATCAGTTCAGTTTTAACATCAAACATTAAGATACTAAGTCAGGGACCAATTAATCCCACTCCAGAATGTGGAAAATACACGTTACAGACATTGTAAATACACTCTGTGGATGGGCACAAGTGGACTGAGATTTCTGATCAGCCCAGGTTTTCTACCACAGCAGCTTCTGCATCCAACAGTTTATTCCACTGTTCCTGCTAGGCTGCAGAGATCCTCCCACACCAACTTTTCATTTCAAGATGCCACAGAAAGACTATGGGATATAGCAACAGGATTCCTCCTTCTCTCTCAGAAAATCCTCTTTTAAGCCAGACATTCCCAGGCTTTGGGCTGGCAAATGTGCTGGAAGGTGGCTTAGAGGATAACATTTTTTCATAGAATTACGGCTCTGCCCACGCCACCACTTACCTGTCGAGCAGCTGGATCATTTCTTCATACTTCTTTATCACCCTTTTTCCTTCGGTAGAGTCCAAGTAGCTGGTAGCAAAACAGACAAGCTCAGCATCACATTTAATTCTGGAGGGGCTGGATTTACCACCCTTTCCAAGTTTGCAGGCAGACTCTGACACAGGGGGACCTTGGATTGCATCCCCACCACACCACCCAAAATCATTTCCTGCACAAAGGCTACTCAAGCCTCAATGAGCCCTTTCCCGGGTGTTGGCGAGGCAATCTGCAAAATGGGAACCACAGTCCGGGGTGAGAAGAAGGGCCCAGTGCTGCCAGGGGAACACTGGTCTCTTAAACGTACCCAATACCCCCAGTAGTTGCACAGAGCTTGGTAACCTCTGCTTACCAACCCACATAGACTGAGATAAGGGGCTCAGAATTAAACAAATCCTGAGCAGTCACCACTGGGCAAGCACTGATCAAACCCTGTGGTAGTAAACAAGGCCTCCAAGCAAACACCATCAAAACCACTTTGTTTTTCCTTCTTAATCCTTTTTCCCCTTTCCAATTGCACACAGGGAACAGCATCATGTCTGCCCTGCTGCAGGGCATGTCATTAACTGCTCTAAACAGAGGAAAGGAAATCAATGCAACATGCAGATCTAGGTCTTTCTTCATGGTTCACAAAATTTGCCATTCAGATTCAAAGCAGACACGGTAACTTCTGTGCTGGGAACGGTCCAAGAGTTTGTTTTGCTGCATTGATGGCTTTACTGTTGAAGAATAACTGCACTTCAAGACAATGTACTGTGAGAGAAGGCTACAAATATTGCACAGTGATGGAGATGGCTTCTTCTGGTCAAGGACATAAAAAAAGTGGATCCATTTACTCAGAATCCTCTCCAGAACAAGTAAAGTTACTCCTGTTGAGCTACAAGGTGCAGTCCCTGGAGCACCTTCAGTTGTCCTAAGTCCAGCACTGCTTCGCTTACAGGGCTTTTAAATGTTGTCTGAGGCTGCCATGAGATGTGGCACCTCCGAGCATGGGGCCACACTTCTCCAAGACCACTCATAACAAGAAGTATTTGGGTGATCAGTTTTCCGGCATTAGTCTGTTCCCTTGATCTTGAGAGATTGCTCCTTTTTTCCATGCTGAGTAAGCTGTCTTCTGCCAGTGCCCAGAGGAGTCCTCATCTGTTCACCAACCCAGAAACTCAGCTCCATCAATCCATCTCAGATGAGTCCAGCCCAACACGTTTCTGCCCTTCACAACTTGGATGATGCCAGAACTGGGGCTTGCAGCCAAGGGTTGGGCTGCTCCCAAGGAGGTCCTGGAGAACATGCTGAGTAGGATTACAGCAGGAAAGGTTCAAATATTTCTTTCAGTTGCAGCCTAGGACTATGTTTGAAAGCTGAACAGACCATGTACTGGTCCACTGTGTCTCTTAAGCACTTCAAAACAAATCCAGTTAATGACTTTCTTTAAAAAAAATAAACAAAAATGATCACAGGGAAGGCAAAGAGCACAAGTGCAATTGCTTCACACCTCTTTGACTAAGAAGTGTTTCAGCTATAACCATTGGATAGAGCTCAACACGGAAAGAAGACCAGATTGATTAGAGAAAAGATATCAATATCAAGACGGCCATGAAGTAACTTAGCTGGAACAGACACGCACAGATGTGGGATGTGCCTGAAGTGATCAAAGGGCGCCTGGATTCGTGCTCGCAGCTCCCGAGCCCAGCGCAGAGCTCCAGCTACCGGCGGCATGTTCTTGTGCACAGGTGGGGATCCTGGGGAGGGCACAGTGAGGCAGCATGTGACCAAACCCCAAAGGTACCCCAACAGAAACTCAACGGCACAAAACTGCTCCCGTTTCCCAGTTTCCTTCCTTAAACCAGATAACTGTAGCACTGATGTAGCCGTGTGACCAGGGTAGGTCTCCTGATGCCTCTAGTCCTTGAATAAGGACCTGAGATCAAAGGAGAAGCCCAGCATATTTTAGAAACAGAGCTGATGCAGGAGGAGCATTTGCATGGGATGCACCCCTGCTCCCCAAAACACTGACACAGGGATTTCTGCCCACGTGCTAGTTCTGACCATCTTATCTAATCCCCCAGGGCCAAATCCCCCACATTCACAGCAAATGATGGACTTGACTTCCGAGAATCTCTGCACTCCCTCTGTTAGCCTGCACTGTTCTGCCTCTTCTGAACTTGCCTGGCTCCAGCACAGTTGTTCTGAGACAAGTAACTGGTTTGTTTTTCGAAAAGACACACTCTAATCCTCATAATCTGAGAGGAGACTACCCATCCCCTCCTGTGCCAGCGTTCAAGGGGAATAATAAATTTGGAAAAGGCTTATTAAACTCTTGGTTACAAAGTCCCACTCGCATACTTTGCACTTACAGCACGCCAAGGGAAAAGCAATAAATTCATACTGGGGAGGACATAAGCAGGTTGGCGAGTCCCACGGGGTGTTTGAGGCAGCACACGCGTGTGGAGAGAAACTCCTTGTCCCAGCCTTGCCAGGGAAAAAGCTCAGCATGTGTCTTCATCCCCAGCCACATGTCACGTATATACATCACAAAAAGGATATTCTTCCCCCCTAACAGATTATTTGCTCTAATACTAAAAATAGAGATTTCCCAGGCCTTTTCATTTCCACAAGGAGCTACAGAGGCTGAAAAGATTTGCAGTTTGGGAAGTTTTGATTTCCTTAGGAAAAGAAAATTTTCCCCCCCCAAAAAAAAATTAGTCTAAATCCAATTTCTTGTAGCGTGAATTGTACTCAGCACATATCACCCACCAAGTTCCAGCTCTGCCTTAATGTGCCTGGAGTAGATCAGCCTTGCATGGTCCAAGGCACTGTTGAACATTCTGATGAGGACAGAGTATTTCCCAGCAGCATCTGCAGCAATTACTGGTCGTTCCAAAAGGCTCCCAAACATGTCCAGCAACTACAGAGGTGAAGAAGCAGGAAAAAAAAAAAAAAAGGAGAAAAAACTCACAACCTCGACTTGTGCAGAGAGACCCACTGGGATCTTCCTCACTAGCCCAGATGCTTCATCTTCCTCACCAGCCCAGATGTCTGCACTGAGGGACACTTTAGAGAAGGAAAATTTCTTTTCTTTACCCTGGTTTTCCTAGTAGTTCCTCCCTTTGTTACAGAGATGCTCAGAATTTCTCTGAGGGGGAACTATATTCCATCTGTCATTCTTCAGATTCCTCAAAATCTGCTATTTCTTTCAGAAACCTTGGCAAGATCAATACTATCACTTTCTATAGTCTTTTCTACAAGCACTTATACTGAAACTTGTCAGAAAATGTCATTTAGTTTTTCTGCAAGGTAGATTACTTGGTAAACAAACCAGCCTTGTTTCTAGAAAACTTAAGAGTCAAAAATTTGAATACTTCCGTGTATTAACAATATCAACAATAACCACCTGTTTTTTAACAGTAATTCTCACAACCAAGTCCTAGACAAAGCAGAATTTCCTTCAACTCACAGACTAAGTCACAAGTAAAACTTCCATCATTTGAAATTTTGATCTGAATAATTTCTTTGGCTATTCTTCCTAAAAGACTAAACATAAGGAAGAAGTTCTTTACCCTGAGGGTGGTGAGGCACGGGCACAGGTTGCCCAGGGAGGTTGTGGATGCTCCATCCCTGGAAGTGCTCAAGGCCAGGCTGGATGGAGCCTTGAGCAACCTGATCTAGTGGGAGATGTCCCTGCCACGGCAGGGGGGTTGAAGCGAGATGAACTTTGAGGTCCCTCCCAACCCAAATCATTCGATGATTCTATGAAAACTGAACAAAAGTCTTCTCTGTTTGTGTCATAGTGGGAATAACAGAAATACTCCCAAAGCTTTCACCAGACACACTGCTGCCAGCTCCACAGCTTGACAGTTTGTGTGGGACCCACAAGCCCGAGCATCACAAACCAAGACCAGCTCAAAAGCTACAAGTCGCATCATCCCACTGTCTATTCCCACGGGCAAACCCCTGCCCCGTGTGCCCACGGCCTCCTCTGTGCAATTCTCACTGAGGCAAACTGCAGCACCACTGATTTCCCTTCTGCAAAAGGGAAAGGACAAACCTTGAAGGCGTGCTCCAAGTCTGAGGCATCATCGAAAGCCTGGATGAAAACAGTGCCCAGTCGCCTGTCGATGTCTTCTACTTTCTGCTGGAAATCGAAGGCGTCTTGCTCGAAGTCCTGCGGGAAGGCAGAACAGTGAGGTGTGAGGCTGTGAGATGGTACCAAGAAGACCTGCAACCTCCTGATCCAGAGGTCTTTCCTTTTCATACTCATTATGAATGAAACCTCTCCTCTGACCACACTCCAGCCACCGCAGCATGGCAAGGCCTCACAGAGCCCAAGGACATTTCTGTACTGTCCCACGGCTGAGATAATGATGCTCCTGGTTGGGTCCTTTGGTCCCGAGGGTTCCCACAGTCCAATATGCACTAACTTTACCCTAGAGGCAAGATTTCTGCACCCGCTCCATCCCCCTTCTTGGTCAGAAGGATACAGCAGTACTCAGAAAACCCATTGAGTTCCAAACCTAACCTACTCTGAAGGCAAAACAAGCAGGTAGTTTTGATCAGGACTGGGCTATAAGTGAGGCAACAATAAAAGCAGTTTCAAAACACTGGCATATGTTGCCCAGAGAGACTGTGGCTTCTCCACCCTTGGACATATTCAGCAGTGCAGATATTTGACCCGATCGGTTTTGCTTTAACTGAGCCTGCTTTGAGCAGGAGAGACAGACTATGGTAATTTCCAACCTCCACAGTTCTGCGTTTCTATAATTTTCATCATCTTCTGGCACTGCTTTTCTTGCTCCAAATGTAATAAACCCTTTGAAGTTCAACATAAAGTCTAGGTTTGCTTGCCCACAGGTAAAAGAGCCTAAATCAAAGACTAAACTTGACAAACTGGGAGACTTCAGCCCTTCTGCCCTAGCTTGGATAAGGCCACTAAAAATTAGGCCACATGTCTCTTTTCTGAAAGGACAAATCATAAGGCAACAGCTTTTGCTATTATCATTGCTGAGCTCCAGTAGAACCAGATGCCACGTTTCAGCTAAAAAAGAGGGTCTAGAAAGTAATAGAGGGTGCAAAACTCAAGTACTGAAAGAACAAGCATGACTCAGAGTCACATAACTGGCTACAGGGTCACTGAAATCACTCCAACTCCTGCGGAGTCGCAGTCAACCTAATCTAACTCCCCTGCAGTGGGCAGGGACATCTGCAACTCGATCAGGTTGCTCAAAGCCCCATCAAACATAGCGAGTCCTTGAATTCAGAGAGTACCAAATGTCTTGCATTCATCTAGACAAGAGCAAATACCCCCAGAGATCATCTGAGCTGGCCCTCATGAGGCAACCTAGACACCAAGAGCAGGAAAGCAAAGAGATGTGGATGCTGGTGAAGCTCGGATGCCGGTAATCAGACGTACAGAGAAAGCTTGTGTAAAAGGAAATCCAAGTTTCCCAGCTACACTGGTCTAAAGTCCTGAACTAGCAAGATATGCAAGATACAAATCTGCAAGGACTCCTGAATCTTTACAGGAAAGGCCAGTGGCTTCCTATTCCCTACAGTGACAAATCAGCTCATATCTAAAGGAGGAAGAAGCTGTGAAGAAGTCAGGACTGCAGATGAGCTGAGCTGCATCATAGGAGAAGCTGCCACTCTGGGGGTTCTGGTGGACAGGCAGGACGGCCATGAGCCAGCGATGTGCCCCCGTGGCCAAGAAGCACAATGGCATCCTGGGGTGTATTAGAAGGGGGGTGTGGCTAGTAGGTTGAGAGACATCCTCCTCCCCGTCTACTTTGCCCTGGTGAGGCCAAATCTGGAATATTGTGTCCAGTTCTGGGCCCCTCAGCTCAAGAGAAACAGGGAACTTCTGGAGAGAGTCCAGCGCAGCCACAGAGATGATGGAGGGATGGAACATCTCCCTGATGAGGAAAGGCTGAAGGAGCTGGGGCTCTTTTCTTGGAAAGGAGGAGGCTGAGGGGCGACCTCATTCATGTTTATAAATATGCAAAGGGTGAATGTCAGGAGGATGGAGCCAGGCTCCTCTCAGGTATGTCCAATGACAGAACAAGGGGCAAGGGGTGCAAGCTGGAGCACAGGATGTTCCACAAAAACAAGAAAAAACTTTTTCACTGTGAGGATGACAAAGCTCTGGCCCAGGCTGCCCAGAGAGGGTGTGGAGTCTCCTTCTCTGGAGGCATTCAAAACCCACCTGGACACATTTCTGTGTGACCCACTCTGGGTGATCGTGCTCTGGCAAGGGCTTGGACTAGATGATCTTTCAGGGTCCCTTCCAACCCCGAACATCCTGTGATTCTGTAATTTGGAAACCCACATGTGTTGCTGGCATTCCCACAAGCTGGTCTCACCTACCGTGTTGGCCAGGTCAAGGCAGTCATAGGTTCGTTCTGCAAACACCTTGTACGCCTCCTGGAATTCCTCGTACATGTCCAGCACTTGCTGACCCAGGGCCTTCCCTTTAATCCCACTGAACTCGATCTTTTCCAGCTTTGTCAGGTCCAAGGCAGTTATCAGGAGATCCTTCAAAGTCAATGAAAGCACACAGGTTAAGGCGGCAACAGAAGAAGGTGACAACAGTTGTCACAACAGGCAGCTGTTCTTGCCACCATGCTGAAGGACCTCCTCAAGCTGATCCCTCCCAGCTAAACAACTGGGAAGCTCCTGAATTTCTGGGAGAACAGTGTGCTCTAGGAGTTGCCTCAGCCAGGTGGCAGGTTTTACAACAGACACGTAGTGCAAAACAGTGAGATGAAGCACAGGAATGATACCCCTCTCCCTCCAATGTGTTCATGGGCTACCCATGCACCAGCACAACTGCAGCTTTTATGAAATTTCAAAACCACATGCACTCAGGCTATTTAGCAGGAGCACATTCACTTCAGCAAGTACCTTGCAAGGCAAAAATAATGTAGAAATAACAGCTGTCCCTCGCTTTGTCTTACAAGGTTGCTTGAACAGAAGGGGGGTGAGTTGCGGAAACAGATGTATGTACGTATGCGTAAGTATAATATGAAATACCCACATCTGTAGCACCCAAGCAATGGGAAATCAGTGCCCAGAGCGTCTGCAGGGTGACAGCACATCTTTACTGCCACTTGCAATGACCTGCAATTACTCCTGTGACCACTGATGTTCCTCTCTACCCGGGGCCAGCACGACTCGGTTAACTGCACTCTGAACCCTATTGGAAACTGTCATTATGAATAGTTTTAAAATGGACATTGTTCCTGGTGGTTTTCAACATAGGTAATTACAGAATACATAAGGTTATACAACATGTTTGAATGAGTAATAACCTTCTGTTCCACTGGGGAGAGCCAAAAAAAAGAAAAACAACCGAGACCTTGCTTTGAACAGGCAAACCCCAGCAGCTCCTGCACTGCCCATTTGATCCTACATGCTGGGAACGTGGCAACAAAAAACAAAGAGTTTCACTTCAGAAGTGCACAGACAGCAGATGGCTGCGTGCTGGCAGCCCCACCAGAGCTAACAGGTATAGATGGTGTCTGTATGTCTGTGGTTTCCAGATTCGACCACCCAACAAGGAGAGCACAGAGGGTGTCCTGGTGCATGGGGCTGCCCCTGCACATTTGTAGAATGTATTAGGCTGGAAAAGATCTTAGAGATCATCTAATCCAACCCCCCTACCATGGGCAGGGGTGCCCTTAACCAGCCCAGGTTGCTCAAGGGCTCATCCAACCTGGCCTTGAACATCTCCAGGGAGGGGGCAGCCACAACCTCTCTGGGCAATCTAGTCCAGAGTCTTGTCACCCTCAGACTGGATCTTTCTAAGATCCAGTATAAATCTATTCTCCTTCAATTTAAATCCATTTCCCCTTGCCCTATCACTGGACACTCTTGTAAAAAGTCCCTCCCCAGCCTTCCTGTAGGTTCCCTTCAGGCACTGGAAGGCAGCTATTAGGTCCCCATGGAGTCTTCTCTTCTCCAGGCTGAAAAACCCCAGCTCCCTCAGCCTGTCCTTGTAGCAGAGGTGCTCCAGCCCCTGGATCATCCTTGTGGCCTCCTCTGAACACGCTCCAACAGATCTATGTCCCTCTTATGGTGGGGGCACCAGAACTGGACGCAGTGTTCGAGGTGGGGTCTCACAAGAGCAGAGTAAAGGGGGAGAATCAGCTCTCTTGATCTGCTGGCCACACTCCTCTGGATGCATCCCAGGAGGTGGCTGACCTTCTGGGCTGCATGAGCACACTGCCAGCTCCTGCTGAGCTTCTTGTCTGCATCTCATCTGCTCTCTGCAGAACCACATACCCCCCAGCTCAAGGAGCCCTCGGCCACACTGGGAGCTGAGGGACAATGGCACTTGGGACACCAGATGTCTCTGCATCAGATGTCTGTGTCAACAGACCCCTAGGATGCAAAGGGATGACCCCAGTGAGGAACGTGTCCCCGCCGCCCTCCAGGCCCACGTGGCACAGCCGAGCAGTGCTCAGCCTCAAGGGGAGCACGTGGCTTCTCCAAGTCAGGCAGGACCCAGCTCTAGGGTGTCTCTCATGGCAACAGGAAGAGTGGAGATCACGTTGCTTTATTTACAGATGTGCAAACCACAGTCCCCAGTCGTCCCTATTCCCTTGCCCCAATAGGTGCAAGGAGTCCAACAAGACTCTTGGGAGTAAGAGCACACCTACCGACCCGACCAGAAGAACACCGCTGCGTATCTCACACATACACTAAGCAGGACATGGTAAAATGAGGCCCTAGCCTTGCTGTATCAGGAGACCTAACAGCAAAGAGCAGCCTCATATACTGGCATCAGGTGAAGTTACAGCAAGGGAAGATGCCAGCAAGTGAGTTCATGGCTACAGAGCTCTCCTGAAAGCTTGCAATGTTTTTTAAGGCCAGAGTCTCACCTCCACCATCTCCAGTCTTTTCAGGAAGCTGTCCAGCCTCACGAACACCGTCACAGCACAAAAGTCCCACTCTCTGACTTCTTGGCCTGGTTCATAATACGTGTGCAGGTTTCTTCCGCTCTCCTCAAATGCCTCTTTGAACGCATTCAGGATGTCAAGCACCATTTGCACCTTGCTCAGGCTCTCTTCCATCTCCCCTTTTAGAAGATCTTCTGGAGACAGGTATACCATGGCCTGGAAGAGCAAAATGACATCTGAGGGGTCACTTCTGCCATCACAGAAAAAAGAAAAAGAAAGATGAATTCTTGCACTGAACACATTGGGATCCACCTCTCAAGTTAAGAAACACTGCCAGGGAAGGAGAGAGGAGACGTTCATTAAAAAAACACTTCCCTTAGCAAACACATGCATCACAGCCACACACCTGCTGAATGAGAAGGTTGCAGATCTCCTGGAGCAGCACCACCATTCGCGTGGACATGCTGTAGTGCTTGGAAGTAACCCAGATCAAACACACCACGTGCAGCAGAGGGACCAGCAATGGCTTCACCTCACTGAACTCAACCGTCTCTATGTCCTCCAAGTGACGTTTGAGTGGCATCAGGTGCAGGTGGATGTCTTGAGCTTCGGTCAAAGCTGTGTTAAGAAACGGGAGAAGTGTGGGGATTTACCCTGAAGAATTATCCCAGAGCACAAGCATTAATGAGCTGGTGAAACATGGGATCAGTCCTGCTGGATTAATGTGAATGCTTTATTACACAAGAGTGAATTCCCCAAATCCACCTATCCTGACCTTTGGGAGGGGTCTGGATCCACACACCAACGATAAAGCTTGTCCCAGCCTGGAAACAAAAGCATTGGATGAAGCACAACCAGCCCAATTTCACTCCAGGAACCAGAGAAAGGGCCAGAAATGAGGGTGCAATCTCCACGGTCACAAACTCCAGACAACCAGTGCCATTACATATTGGGCTTGAAACCAGCAACACCAGGCTGTGAGCAAGGGCCAGAAGTCAGCACTATGGTGAAATCGCCCTAGTACCTCACCTGCCTCAACATCCATGAGCATGGCTTTGAAGGCTGGGACATAGATGCTCTCAACTCTCTCCAGCAGCTTTATCATGTTCCTGACCTTCCTCGTTCTCAGTTGATCATAAATGCATTCCAGGTCATCACACCTGCAGCAACCAAGACACGTTACAAGCCTACGTTGGGGCAGCATCAAACCCTCCATTTCCTCTTGAATTTCCTCCAGCTCCACACAGACCGAGTCCCCCAGGTCAAAGGGAACAGGAAGAAGCTCCTGTAGGAGGCATGGACAAATCCTACAGGACAGACAGACGGTGCTGGGTTTCAGCGTTACAGCAGCTCTGCTCCTGGCAGGACACTGCTGAAAGAAGCCATTGGGTGTTTCCATAGGCAGTAGCGACAGCTCTCCAGGCTTTGCCCTGAGTCAGCCCAAACCAACACAGCAGAAGGTTTTTCAAAGGGCAGAAGGAAATTCCACTCTCCAGCTCTTGAGCATCCAAAACCAGCCCTGGCATCAACAGATAATCAGCAGCCAGCTGTGGTGCACTATTTCCAAAAGGCCCTACAGAAGGTGCCCATCAGCTCTAATTCCTGTCACTGGTTCCTAGTGAACAGTGACAGAAAAGACATTTCCCAAAAAACCTGTCTCTCAAGGTGTAGCCCCTGTGATGGAGCTAAGTTAAAATACAGCCAGCTGCCTATATTTTGCAGTTCATTACTATTTTACAAGCAGGAACAACTTTCCTTAGCTCAAGTGTTTATATGAACGTGAGGCAGCCTGCTCTAGTCAACTGATAAAAGCAGCAGCTCCGTCTGTCACAGAACCAGTGCCAGCACCCACCATGCCAGAGCCAGGCTGTCCAAGGTACCTGTTCTTCCAGAACTCCAATTCCACCTTTGGGTTAGGGTTGTTGCCTTGCAGGAGAGGGTCTGAAGACTCTTTCTTCAGTGCTTCCTGGATCTGGTAGCTCCAGTCTATGATGGCTGACTCAGTGGCATGTACCAGAGATTTATCTATCAGCTTCAGGCTGCAGAAAACAGACCACATGGTTAAATTTGCTCTGCACTTGATGCAAATTGCTGAGTTGGATCTACTTCCAGTGACCCACAGGCAGCTGGATTTCACAGGTTACAGTCTACCTTCGCATTTCAAAACCACAAAACAATCAAAACTTAAGATCTTGCCATTGTTTTAACGCGGGAGTTCCACCTTAAAGAAAAGTGATGAAAGTTTGCTGCAGTGTGGGCAAAACCTTGCTCAGAAAATTAATGGTGGAAATCAAGACCCAGTCGCCACCTCCCTGCACAGTCAGTCATTGTCACATCAGATCCGCTCAGGTTCAGGGTCTGACCTGGAGAGCCATAGCTCCTCTTGCGGTTCTCCTTGAATCTATTCTATCTTCCCACAGTAGTTAATTTGTTTAATTCAGAGAGAAACTACACAAAGAGGGCTGGCATGCTGAGGACAGGTCACCCCACTGCGTTGGAAGCAGCAATTTCTCACAACATCCCACCCATACCAGGTCCTGTCTGAGGAGTCATTAATTCTGTGGCATGAATGCATCTCCTGAGGTCCCACAGTCATAGTCGTGCAGCTCAAATGTGATCACAACACAAAATGCAAACCCATCTGCCTCTACAGACCCTCCAGTTTTGGTTATTTTGGACTGGGCCAGGCTCATAGCACTGCCACAAATTCCTCCCACCCCCAGCTTCAGGCTCCAGCCTGACTTCTAGAGAGGACCAGGGTCCTCCCCAGCTGCAATGTGAGCACCCTACCAGACATATCAGCTCACAAAGGATGAGGATTCCTTGGATGCTGGATGTCTTGCAGGATAAAGACCAGCTGCACATGGGGCTCAGTCTCCCACGGCTGCCCAATGACCCAGACAAGTGAACCAAATGCACACTCAGTATGTGTGCGGGCAACATCAAGTTGGGCGGCAATGTTGATCTGCAGGAGGGTAGGAAGGCTCTGCAGAGGGACCTGGACAGGCTGGATTGATGGACTGAGGCCAACTGTAGAAATTGCAACAAGGCCAGGTGCCAGGTCCTGCCCTCAGGTCACAACAATCCCCAGCAATGCTACAGGCTTGGCAAGAAAAGTCCCTATGGTGGATGGGGAGAATCTCCAGAAGGCACAACATCACTGCATCAGCAGGAGTAAACCCAGTGAAGAGCAAGGGGTCATACTCACGATTTCTCATCTTCCAGATCAATGTCCTCAATTCCCTCTGAGCCAGCTGGAAGAGGTAGCAAGGTCTGGCCTTTTACTTGGCCAACAACCATGAAAACAGTGCTTTTCAGTCTGTGGACATGTCGCACAAGATCTTGTGACACCACTTGTGGCCAGCCCCGATGGTTCTTCTTGTTTGTCAGGATGGGCACAATCACCTACAGCAGGAGTCAGGAAAGAGTAATGGAGAAAAAAGTGCTGCAGGAGATTGACGGGCCAGCAGGCTCCAAGCTCCTTACTCGACCAAGCCTGGTGACCCGTGTATTCATTGCTGTCCCAAGCAGTTCCCTGCCTATGTGAAATACTCCGTGTGCTAGTAGAGCTTCTCCCATGAATCCAAGCAGCTGAGAAGGGTGGAAACCAGCAAAGTGAGACACCCCATGCTCAGGCTCTCCCAAGCCTCTCAAACCTGCAACTAGAGACAGCTCCATGGGCTCTTGCCCCCTTGTCCCCACAACACCTCCTTGTGCTTGCTCTCCATTTTGCTGCCAGTGGCCAGGTGAGGCAGGCAGGGGCACAGGCTTCAGGCAGCCTTTCAGGACTAAAAGAGCTGGGCTTGAACCCACAGGCTGGTCCTTGACAGCAACATGCAGCACGGTGAAAGGGAAGGTCTTCTCATACCTCTTGGGATTCACCATTGGGGAGGGTCACCTAGGTCCCTGTCCCAACCATTCTGCAGGTCTTGAACAGAGACACATTTTCCAAAGTTGCAGCCCACTAAGAACAAATTTTGTCTTTTATCAGTGAAAAATCACAAGGTTTATACTGACCCAACAGGGTTGGGATCTCACGGCTGTGCCAGGCTTGCCTGAACCTGAGCTGCTTTTGGCTCATTTGAGCTGTGGCAGCAACACAGCCTCTGTCACCTACCCTGGCCTGGCTCCAGCCTGGGACCAGCCTGTGGCAACAGCCTGGCAAAGCCATGTTGCCCCTGGTGACAAACAACAGCCCTTTGTGTTGTGGGTTCAGGGAAGGGTGAGGGTGTAAAAATGCCAACAAATGGACACAAAATTGAAAAGGAATAAAGTAGCCCAGCACCACCAGGATGTTCAAGATACTTTATAACACTGACTGGCACTGTTGAGCTGAGGAAGAGCAGCATCGAGAACCTTCGTGCCCAGGGAGTGGTGGGAAGAGGGAGCACAGCCCCAGGGAACACAGGCAGGTACTGCTGAGTTCAGCTGCAGCAGTTTTAGCTGCATTATTAATAAGATTGGTCTCTGACACCTGAGTCTAATGTTGCAACCGGTCAAATGATCCCTGCTCTGGTGAGACCCCACCTGCACTTCTGTGTTCAGTTCAAACCAGGACAGGATTCCAGCGTAAGGAGGACCTGTTGGATCAAGTCCAGAGGAAGCTACGAAGATGATCAGGGGGTTGGACCACCTCTCCGACGAGGACAGGCTGAGAGAGTTGGGGCTGTTCAGCCTGGAGAAGAGAAGGCTCCGGGGAAACCTCAGAGCAGCCTGCCAGTGCCTGAAGGGGCTGCAGGCAAGCAGCAGGGGGGCTCTTGATCAGGGAGTTCAGTGGTAGGACAAGGGGTAATAGTGTCAAACTGGAGGAGGGTGGATTTAGATTATATTTAAGGAAGAAATTCTTGTCTGCGAGTGTGGTGAGACTCTGGCACAGGTTGCCCAGGGAAGCTGTGCCTGCCCCCTCCCTGGAAGTGTCCAAGGCCAGGTTGGACAGGACTTTGAGAAAGCTGCTCTGGTGGGAGGTCTCTGCCCATGGCAGATGGGTTGAAACTAGATGATCTTTAAGGTTTCTTCCAACCCAAACCATTCTGTTTCTATTCAATGATTTGAACCAAACTATTTCTTTCACTGGACAAACTCTTCTAAGACTGTCCTAAAAACCTCTGATAAGAGACTCTGCGAGCAGTGCTCGTGCAGCAGGCTGCACGTCACACGTCACCAACCTCAGGAAACTCAAGATCTTTTCTGTCTTCGCGCAGACCCATCCTGTCCTCCTGACCCAGCACCACCACTTTCATCTTCCTTGAAGTTTGAGAAAAAAGTGGGACCAAACCTCAGTGCAACCTGCTCCCCATGGAAATGCAACATCTGTCTGCGCAGAAGGGAGAGAAAAGCTTGCAAACACGCAGTCCAGGACACACAATCCAAACTGGCAAAGGCAGCCAGAAGACAAGATCTAAGAGGATCTGCTAAAGTGCTCCCAGCCCCAAAATCTCCCTGTAGCAGATGGTGTTTACAAGGCCTATCGTATGCTACCTGTCATCCTTCACAAACAAAACCGTGATGCAAAAACCGCTGCTTGTGCGGACTTACCGAGACCACGGGGCTCATCAAATGCCTCGAAACAAAAGCTCCTGGTGTACATAAGGCATTATCCCACAAAAGCAGGATAACCAGTCTGGCAGCTGCTCTTGGTAGTCTGATCTATCAGTCACTGTCTTAATACACCAACAGCATCGCCAGAGCTTCTCAAATCAAACAGTAACTCTACATTCCCACCACAGCCTCACTGCCGAGACTCCTCTGGCCTGGTAGTCATCGAGTCAATGCTGTCTGGTTCAGGCTCCTAGCAGAAGAGAAAGGACCAAACCTGCTGAAGATCCCTTTGGGAAGGGATCAGCCCACTCGAGGTAACCAGGAACTGAACAGCACAGAACACGTTTTCAGTGCGCAGGTGCCCAAGTACTGGCACAGGTAGCCCAGGAAGGCTGTGGAGTCATCCTTAGAGATACCCCAGAGCCACCTGGACGTGGTCCTGGGCAACTGGCTCTGGGCAGCCCTGCTTGAGCAGGGGGTTGGACCAGATGCCCTTGAGATGTCCCTTCCAGCATCTACCACTGTGTGAGTCAGTAAAGCAGGTTGGTTCCACCAGGACACCGCCACCAGAGAGGCTCAGAGCTGATGCACTCAGGACTTAGTGGGTCTAAAGCGATTCCAAAGCCCTCCCGTGGGCCGGGCGGGGCAGGGCTGAGGGTTCGCGCAGAGACAGGAGAGGCCGAGGAGCCCGTTTGCGGGGCAGGAGCCTTGCCGGGGCCGCCCCTGCTCCTTACTCCTTACCTCCTCCACGAGGGCGGCGAAGTGCCGCAGGGCA